CTCGGCCGGGGGCGGGGCCGGGCCGGGGCGGGGCGGCTGGTCTGGCGGGTGGCTCACGGCCGGGAAAGCGGCGCGGGCCCGCCCAGAGCTTTTCACCGAGAAAATAATTGCTCTGTCTGCCCAGTTTTCCCCAGATCCGAGGCAGAGCAGTGGGGCTGGAAGGGAGCTCCCGAGGCCGCGTCCCAGGATCATCCCTGCCCGAACCGCTGCCTCCACCCGCCACCTGAACCCGACCCGTCCAGGCGGCCCCAGCTGCACCGTCACGGGCCAACCTGGCCCCCGGGGCGCGGTGACCGCCTCGCACCCGCGATCTCCGTGAGAGCTGCGCCACCTTTCACACAAGTAGGACACTGGCCTCCCGGGTTCCCCCGCAGCACCTCGGGGCACTAGGTCTGCAGTCAGGGTTGTACCTACTTGTCAGTGCCAGCTTTGTACAGGGGGGCTTGGATGGGGATGGTCCTCCAAACCCCCCTGCACAAAGCTGCCATAGAAGGTCAGTCCTGGCACACCACAGAGCCAGGGCGCCAAGGGGCTGCGGGGGAACCAGGGTGGCCGTCTTGCTTCTGCGAAAGGTGGTGGCATCTAGAGGGCTCCTCCGGTCTCGCACCTCCAGGAATCCATGATTTAAAGCGAGAAGGGCTTGGCTGCCTCGTGGCAGGTAGCACCAGTAGCACCACATCCGGCTAGAGCAGCATTGCTCAACCTTTTTGGTCTGTCCATCTGCAAGTTGGATGCAGCCAGTGGGCCCGATCTGCTGGTGGGGCAGGCACGATGGGGCCCCGTCCAGTCATGGAAGGGGGGACAATGAGAAAAGGGCAGCCTGGACCTGATCCAGCTACATGCAGGGAAAGGTGTGTGGCCCAACCCTGTCCCAGCCATGCCGGGCTTGGGAATTTGGCAGCGTGGGAGAATGGAGATATTTATTGCCACAGCTCCCCTGCCGTCAAATATCTTGACCCAGGGGGAGCCCCATGGGGCAGATGCCATGGCTCCACGAGCCAGATTTGTACAGACCTGTCTCAGAGCATGATCAGGCAGATTTTTACATAATTCATAACTGAAAAGCCCTGCCTTTGTGCTCATCATAATGCTGTAATGACACATGACTCAAGCTGGTAACGCGTTTGACAAAAACGTAAGAATCACTGCTCAGGTCAGACCATAGCTCCATCCTGCCCAGTCTCCTGTGTCACACAGGGGCAGTGTGTGGATGCTGAGGGAGAGGGAACTGGGTCTGACCAGGGGTTTCCCCCTCCCCCCCTCTCACTTGCCTCCAGCACTGAAGGTCTCTAGGAAGCTCTAATTCAGAGGGCATGTCCCTAACTCCCATGCTTAATAGCTACTGATGCCCATTTCCTCCAGGAATTTGTCCAATCCCTTTTTGAATCTGATTAAACTGTCAACTTCCATGACACCTGGTGGCAATAAATTCCACAGCTGAATGACACACTGGGTGAAAAAGAACTTCCTTTTTCAAGACCCAGTATTTGGTTCATCAGGGCAATTCACAGCACATAGCTCCGTTGCTCTTGCTCCCATAGATGCCTCCCCCAGCATTCGAGTCATGCAGGAATGTGTTGTCTAATATTCTCCATTACTCACTCAGCTCATGTCTTGCAAAAAATAGAGGAAAGGGGCTTCTTAGAACAGGCTTAGCCTGTTCAACTAACCTTCTGCCCCCATCCTGCCTGTGCAGCAGCTGCTTTTCTCAGCCACATGAAAATACAAATGAAATCAACCTACAATTAACAGCCATCTTGCAGCAAGCCACCCCCTGACCCCAACAAATTCACCCTTCTTCAGGATTTGGACTTTTATGAAGTAAGCTGTAGGAATCTGCCCATCACTTCATGGGCAGTAATGAGCACTTTCAGAGTTGCTGCTCTTCACTGACTAACCCCCACTGTGGGAAGAGGGGGTGGTGGCAGCGGTTAGCTAACCTACTTCACAGCATGTCTCTCATACTGAGAGCAGCAACCTGCAAACAGCACTTCCATCCCTTTCCATTTGGACACAAGTTCCCTTCTAAAGTAGGAAATACTGGTCAGAGTAAGGCAGAATAGCTGTGACGTTGTCCTACTCCCAACTCTACTTCTGATCTACCATGTGTTTAAGTAGACGTCAATTCTCCTTCAAAACTATACTTCCTCATCCATAGAGAACATAATACTTTCTGCTCACAAGTGGGATAAAAAAAACAAACATGATTTTTTCTAAACTCATTGAAGTAATGCAACTACAGGCAAGCCCCACTTAACAGTTTTGGTTAGCACTATTTTGCTATATCGCTCATTTAAAATTCATACCCAATTCCACTGAGCGCTCAGCCAGTTTCTCTATAACAGTGGAATCAGCAAGTTTTGGCAGGCAGGAGGGAGAACTGGTGGCAAGAAGCAGTGAGTGGCAGCAAGTGGGGGGGGTGGGCAGGCGTGAGCGTGAGGCCTGTACTGGTGCCCAGGGTCAGGGCCAGCAGGGGCCCAGGGTGGGGCAGCAGTACAGGGCCCAGGCTGGCACATGGTGCTGGAGCAGGTCAGAGGGAGAGGTATATGTGGCAGCAAGGAGCTAAGGGCCAGTGCCTGGGGCCAGGACTGGTGGGGTCCTGGGGTGGACAGCAGGAGTGCAGGCCTGGGCTAGCATGTGGGCCTGGAGCGGCAGGTGTGGGAGTGGGGATGGCAGTAACCAATTATCTCTATTTGCATTCATTCCTATGAGGAAATTAGTTCCGCTTAACACTCAGTTTTTTCCAGAATCAATTAAGAGTGCTAAGCGGGGGTTGCCTGTACTAGGTGTTCTCAGATCCAGGTTGTCTTGGGTATCTCATATGAAACTAAAAGCCGCTCCATTTTCTTCTTTGTATAGGCACTGATTTCATTAAGGCATGACCAGATTTTTCAGAAAAGGCTTAACTGAGTACATTACTGGACATGACAAGTCCAGAAATGAGAGGGGCTTCTCCCTGGTGTCTAGGTGGAAGGGACAGAAAATGTCTTTCTTCCACAAATAAACTTGCTGTGGCTCCTGAAGGTAGCAAAGGAGCTGGGAGCAAGGGAAACAGGTACAGCAGATCTCTCATCCTGTAAAAAACAAGAGAAACAGGTACAGCGAACTCCTCATCCCGTAAAGAAGCACAGAGATGATGTTGGTGAAATAATTTTATTTAGTGTGATACACGGCTGTGGTCAGACGGTAGATTTTCATAATAGTCACACTTACTTGGCTAACAGCTAGGAGACAGCAGGGCCAGAGACACACACTCAATATTATACACATCCATAGAGAAGACAGTGGAAGGTGAACTATTTAATTTCATTAGATTTCCCCTCCCCTTACTTATTCTCCTGCTTACCCTCCCCACCCCCACCCCCCAAAAAAGGGCCAGTGACTTGAGAACAATATGACAGCAGAGGCAGGGCCTATCTGGCTGTGAGAAGGGGACAGAGAAACCTGTTCTACTGCAGACATAGACACACTGACAAAACATCAGCAATTCCCACACAACAGGGAGTACATACACACAATGGAACAGGACTTCACACAGGCATTAGGGTCAATGGGCTTGGACTAGGCCATTTGAGGTTTTGGTAAGAAAGGGGGACACTCCAGAATAAGAAGGAGAAACAACATAACATCCCAGCTTCCCCCTGCAGGTCAGCTTACGTGGAGAGGACGGGACAAATGCTGCCCAAGATTCACTACTTTAGTGACTAAGAGGTGAAAGCCTGGCAGGTGTTGCACTCATCAAGTCCACCTAGCCTAGACACAAGCAGCCCCAGTGTCATTAGCTGAAAGCTCCCACTCCCGGGAATTCCACGGTGGCCAGGGTTAAGGTTAGGTCATGCAGATAAAGAGTACCAGTCCCTCCCTCACCAGGCACAGGCCAGCAGGTTCCAAAGTGCAGAGAGCCAGGTCAGTGACCAAGAAGGCATTCAAAGGTGGTGGTAGGGGGAATTTATTTAACCTGCCTCATGCTATAGTCCCCTGCCCTCACCCATTCCAGTACAGTCGCTCCCTTTCCCTCAAGATCTACTCTGCTAACATTGCACAGGCCACATGGACAACTATGGGGTCTAAGAGGACTCTACTACTATCTCACTCTTTTTTCCTACTCCTGCCAATGGACAGAACTCAGCACTGTGGAGCTGTGGATACGGAGAGAGACAGGTCACTTATAAAATCCCCTTTAAGACAGCTGGAAAAGGGACATGTACTCTAAAGTCTAGCATGTGACACAGAAGCAACCAGACAGCAAGGCCTCCTCTCAATTAACAGCAGCCTGCTCCAATCCTACTTTCCACCTTTCTGAAGTGAACTCTCATATTCTACTGCTCCTACAATGTTATGGCCCAGCATCATCTACATTACACAGAGGGGCAGGGAGGTTCCCCACTAAAGACAGAAGGCAGGCAGAGGGGAGACGCATCCCATTCCATGGACAACAGGCTGAATAATCAAGAATAAAGTTAATCTCTTGCATTCAATCCCATGAAGAGCCTAGCAATGCTTCTAGCATATGGTCTGGTACCACTGGTACTGAGCCACCTGTGCAGTACAAGCTCCATTTCCACCCCCCACTTCCTTCCAACTGTGAAGCTTGTATCCTAGTCTGCCTAATAAAGAGAAGAGCATGTGCATGTTCCACAAGAGCAGTTCCCCAGTCTGTCTGCAGATGGAAGGAGGAGGAGAAATCAGAAAGGACAGAAAAGCAAAAGAGGAGAATGGCCCTGGGACTCCCCATCCAAATTCTGATGCTTCTGTGATGAATTCTAGGCTATTCTATCTTTCCCTGCCATCAGCAGATAGAGCCCAGATTGTCAAAAACAGACTGGACCCAGCTCCCCCAAGAGATTTCATACTGCACCAAACCAGCCTACCTTCCTCTTCCACATCCAACTGGCAGCATTCACTGAGCACTAACATTCTCCAGGGAGAGGACAGGTGAAGAATCTGCCCCAACGTAGCAATCTCAGGGAATTCTTCCCACCTAGAGGGCAAAGGCAGCAGCAAGATAAATGGCTTGTGCTGGCACGGTTTGGGAGAGGAGTGCCCCATGCTTACACTCACACCAATGGGTGGAACAGCAAGGCAGAGAAGTTCCTTCTCACAAACTGCAAGAATGAGGGAGCAGGAGTTAGATGAGACCATCCACTGGAGGGGGAGAAAGAAATCGGAGTTGTTAATGTGTGCACCCTTCAGGAAGCAAGGCATGGAAACACATCACCCCCCACTGTCAAAACAGGCAAGGCCAAGTCCAGTTGTGACTAGTTTTAAAGGAGCAGCTTCTAAAAAGGAAGTAGGGAAGCTGGATGGAAAAAAAACATTACTGGAGTGGAAGGGGAACCGGCTGAGATGCAAGGCAATTAGGAAGGTGGAGAGCCCACCCCCAGCTGTATTTTTGTTTTCCCTAACTTGACGGCTTTCCCGTTGCATTTGCAGGAGGAAGATACATCTGAGCAGATAGGCCCAAGGTGGGGAACAGAGTAAAGGGCACCACGGTGCCAAAGTGCAACAACTAAAGAAGGACAGGACACTCATTCTGAGTTCGGGGCTCGTACCATGCAGTAAGAGGGGCGGCCAGGGCTGCTCCCCACCAGCAAACAGGGAGTTCGCTCGCTTAGTAGATTTTTTCAGCCCACAGAAAGTTGGTTTGCCTAGCCAATGAGAAGTGATGCTCTTCAGTGAGACTGGCCAATTGGGGAAAGTGCTGCTACACAATGGGCACTTTAGCAGGAGCAGCTACTCTCCGTTACTGGCTGCTCAGGAGGCTTCTCTAGTTTGATGTCGATCACTGGAGAAGATGAATTAAGGAAACCATCTGGAATAGTGAAAGCAGCAAACATGAAATGGGTAAACTATTATAAATCTCCAGCCTCTCTAGAACAGTGGGGTCTTGCAGACCTTAGGCCAATGATTCTCAAGAACAGTGCTGTGGCACCCTGGGGTGCGCCTTGAGATCCTTTCAAGGGTGATGCAGGCTGCCGTGTAATATTAGCACTGTTATGTGTGCACACATGATTCACATTCACATGATAAGCCCAGAGATTTCAAATAGGAATCCATAGTGTTATAAATATCCTGCCCTGTTGTGGTCTTTCTGAGTTCTCTGCAACAAAATAATTGTTCTATTATTTTTACTGTATTTTCTATTATTTTTTTCTTTCATAAAAAAAAGTAAAAACTAAGAGCTGGCATTTTCCAAGGGGTGCCTTGAGCCTAAAAAGGCTGAGAAACTGCCTGAAGCAAACAAGCCCAGGGCTGGGGACTTGTGCTTTTAAGGATAGCACCAACTACAGCTACTTAGGTGGCTTGGTATAGGCTTCAAGGCAAGCCTCATGAGGCTTAAGGTATTTTAAAGAAGTTTCCAGAATCAAAAGGTAGAAGTTGGTGGAGCTAGCAGAGAGCTGCCAACTCTACAATAGTCAAAGCAGGGAAGTGATACTGAAGCAGCAGCCACAAATCTTATGACTGCCATCCTGTGCTGTTGCTATACAGGCCTTGTCCAGCATACCACAAACTCCCCACCTAGTGCAGCCAGCACTTAAGTTGATAGCATGCTGTAGCTAATCTAGACATTTTTACTATAAATTTAATCTAGTTTTGTTACTATCAAGCACTGCTTAATAGTCACCCTATTGTACATACTTCCTGGGGACAGTTTGCTTCCAGTCTACCTCATGCTCTGTTACCAGATGTGTTTGCACAGGGAGTCACCAGCCACAACTAGGAGTAAGGTGACTACATAGCTAGTTGTCTGCAAAACAAACCATGACTCTGCTCCCACCTCTTTGTTCAAACCAGTCATTTACAATCTGAGGCTAATGGGCTCTAATTCAGACCCACTTGGCAATTCCCTTTCTTATAATTCCAGAGAATCTCAGCCCCTCTGCCTGAGCAGGGAAGGTATGCTTGTGAAGCAGACATCACACAATAACACCAGGGGACAAAGTTCACCAAGAACTTTATGGGGAACAGGCCAGTCTCTAGGTATCTGTTGTGTACGTGGGACAGCCTCAGACAAAGCAAAGAAGGGAAACAGACCATGTTGTTCTGAAATATCACACCAAGTTACAAATAAGCACTACAGTGCTCCAGTGCCACACATGGCCAAAAGACCTGGCTACAGATGCTCAATTTATACATGCAGGAGAACATCACACTAAGAGAGAGAAAGTTACCAAGTAGCAGGCAAGGATACTGTCTTCTTTGCTCTTTTCAGGTGTGCTGTCCATCCCAGGTAAGGCAGCAGCCACACGGCGGAAAAGCTGGAAGGCAGCAACATGTGAACTGACATTTTGTCAGAAGTAATTAATGATTAAGCCCCACATTTCTCTCTACAGCTGCTGATGAAAAACCAAGGTTTTGTAAGAGGTTTACATGGGCATTTGGCTAGCTATGCAGTGAATTAAAGACACTGTGCAAACCTTATCCCCAAGGACTTTACCACTAGATTTCTTAAGACTGGACTTGCATTTAATAGTCTACCCAGTATCTATAAAGCATGCACCTGCAGCACAATTTTATTCTAAATGCTATTTCTTTAACTGTACCATAGCACTGCTCTGCATACTCTACTACATAACAGCACACACAAGTAGTTAAGAGCCACTTGGCAAAAAGTTCCTTCTTACCTTCTCAGTGTCACATGGCACTGTCTAGTACCTTTAACTAAAGTCACAGCTACCATTAACCTAATTTAAGGTCTGTTGCAGCCTGATCTAGAGATCTAGCCTTTATGGTAAAAACTACCTCTAAAATAGTGAAACAGGAGTGGAAACCCCAACTTGAACATGCTGCATTTAGCTTCTCTGGACTTTGAGTACAGATAAGAAGAAAAATTCAGGAAGCTTGTTTCTCAATACCCCCTGCAAAAAGTGCAGGATACGTGTTTTTGCTCGTTTTCCCAATCACTGTTCAGAGCTCCTCCTGCTGACATCAACACAGCAGTGCCCCCCTGTGCACAGCCTGCCACACACAGAGTTTGAACCAGATAAGGGAACACTGACTCTCACATGGATCACGCTACCAAGCTAAAAGGAGAAGGTAAGCAAGAGCACCTAACCATAAGTAAGGAAAATGATCTAAAGCCCACCAGAAGCATGACCATCACATCACCAAGATCCCAGCAACAATGGCAACCTCTTTGAGGGAAGGGCTGACTCAGAGGAATAATCTTGTTGCATTGAAAGGTGGGATAAGGAACTCTGAGGCTGCTTGCAGATGTTAAAACAAAACAAAAACCAAAAACAGCACTTTATACTTTAAACTCAGCGCATTCCTGGACCAAGTCCAGTGTACGCCCAGAAGAGGCAGCACTTTAGCTGAACCCAGCTTGCCCGAAGTCTGTACAGGTTGGGCACTTAAAAGGGGCTTATCTAATAGCTGATCAAATAAATTTTAACTTAAAAACACCAAAAAAGCCCACTGGAGCACCTGATCTATATAGATGCTATAAAATTGGGTCAAAGTACCACGCTACTTCTTCTGGTAAGGCTTTGTTTTGTTTTGTTTTGTTTTGTTTTGTTTTGTTTTGTTTTGTTTGGGGGGGGGAGGGAGGGGAGGTTAACATCCGCAAGCAGCCTGAGCTTTTAAGCTGTCGCTACCTTGTGCTTGGACTGAACCCAGTGGGAGGGGACCCTGAGACCCTACCTTGTGCTTGGATGAGGGGACCCTACCTTGTGCTTGGATGTTATGGTTATGGAGGCCACAAGTGGCCAGGAGAACGGTGGCTGGAAATCCAGTCAGTTCTTATTGTACTTCAGAAGTTAGCTGAGTGATCCTCCCCTACTTTTGAGCTAGGAGTCAGTCTCTTCTCTCTTCTCTACGCCCCACTATTCTGGGAGTGCCATAATGATGGCACATGCACTAATGTGGTGCTGACAGCTTTTTTCCTGAGTCTTTTTTCTAATTATGAATACACCCTCAATGCAAGAGGGCAAGTGATCCTAGGATGAACAAAGCAGGACTTGAACAGGCAGCAGTAGAGAAGCACGACTCATGTATGACAAATTTGTGCTAAGCAAGTAAAGCAGTACAACTAAAAGCAGGTCAAGACCCCATAGTTTAACTAGCAGACAGTGATATAGCTAAAGGAGAAAACAAAATTACTGTTTGAAAAGTCACCAAATCTAAAGAGGGGGTCCACTCCATCCAGCTTCTTTGCAGCACACTGTTAACAGTACAGGTCATAAATGAGAGCTTTCCTGACAGCAAGGATATTGCTGCTGCATTTACAAGTAAGCATGGAGCCAGGTTGAATTCCATCCCTGCAGAAACAATCACTGCCTGGGAAAATATGACTATGGAAGAGAATTGCATGGATCTCAGGGGAACATAGCAGCCTTATTTATTAAGTTCTGTCATGCACGTGACATGTCACTGTGTACAACCAGCACTGCCTGGGTAAGAGTGTACTCTAGTAAGAGTGTACTCTAACTGCTAAACTGCTATCCCACGCAGAGAGCACACATTATTGTGTTTAGCAGGGCACAGTGAAGGAGTACCACTGTTCCTATCCCTCACCACACTTTTAGATGCTTTTCCCTCAGATTAGAAACTGTTTTGGGGTACATTCAATTTTAGGTTTAACCTTAATGGTGCCCATTAGCATTTTCTCCTTAGCTCAGCATGAAACAAAGTCTCCTTTAATTAATGGACATCCAGAGGCCACACAGAGAGAACTTAAAGGATCAGAAGCAAAGACGCAGAAGCAGAAACAGGGCCTGAATATTTAACATAGCAAAGCCCAAACAGCAGCTCATCTCCCCACACAGCAGCAGAGCGTTGAAAATCATAAGGTTTGCACACAATGCTGATCTACCTGTTTCACATTGTAGCCAGTCTTTGCACTGGTCTCGATAAACATCACATTCAGTTCTTTGGCTCTCTGCTCACCTTCTTCTGTGGTGATTTGCCTGGACAAGTACAGACAAGGGGAGAAGAGAAGACAGAAGGGGGAAAAGAGAAGACGGGCATTAACAGCAGTAGCACTTCACTGGAGGTGCCCTCTTTTGCTATGTCACGGAACAGAACACAATCCACAAAAGGAAACCCCACAGCCTCTGAATCTTTAAGACCCTCCCACCATCAGCTTCCTCTGTACACTCCATCTAAGAAAGAAACAACCTCATATGAGCAGCTCAGGAAATATAATGGTAGTCATAATCCATATGGATGAGTAGGGACATTTAGGTCTCATTCACAACATCCTCACAGTAGGAAAAAGGGCCCCTTTAAGCTGCACCAAACTGGAATGGTGTACAGCTATGTAAAGAAGCAGGTTCCCCAAAACTACAGAAAGAAACTCCTTAAGATGACAGAAAGGTCACAGAAAAGCTCCAGCAGGGACAGAAATTCAGCAGCAAATAATATGCTGTTGTTTGCAAGCCAAGCACCTGCAAGAGCATCTCTGACCAATATCCTGTACATACCTGTTTCATATTATATCCTGCTTTAGCACTGGTTTCAATATACATCACATTCAGTTCTTGGGCTTTTCTCTCGCCCTCCTCTACAGAAACCTGTCTACAGCAATGAGAACAAATCACAGAAAAGAAAAACCAAAATAAAGGAAAAAAAACTAGACAGAAAATGGCAGAAAAAAACCGCAAGAAAATCACCCAGCAACTGAAACAGCATTCACCAGGAAGGAAAACACATAGGCCATTCAAAATAAGATGAAGTAAATAAATGGTTCCAATCTCCAAAAATGTCTGAAACTACAGCTTGGCAGACAGCTCTTCCCAAAGGGCTAGTGATTGCCTAAGGGGTTTTTCAAGTCCCACCCAACATGACCAGGCTCAAAACTGACACTAGAACTTTGTCCACACTAGAATTTCAAAGCATAGGATTTGAGCTAGTGTACATTAAAGGCTCTTGACTTTCTAGAGTTCACATCATGTAGTATTCGCTAGCTCAGCCCCCCCCACCCCCTAATCTTTTGCACCATCTAGTTTAACTGGCTGAGAATTCCTGATATTGCATGCACTCCTATTACAGGAACTTTGCAAGCAGAGTGAAGTCTCTATATTTCATTTTGGTGTATGAAGAGGCATAAGCTGCCCCACACGGAGTGTCTTCCACTCCTGTCCCATCAGGAATACTGGAGAGGCTTCCACAGGATTTCCTGGTGCTGGAGAGGCATAAGAATGGCACCTTCTAAGAGCTGCTTGATAAAAGTTAGGAAATCCCAAGATCTGAAGTCAGCTTGCCTGACTGCTCCTAAACAAGAGGCCAGAGTTATTTCCCACTCCTGGGAAATACGTGTGACAGTAACTGCTTAGCTGGACAGGGTTCCTTGGGTGAATTTGATATCTTTTATTAGACCAACCCAAATCGTTGGAGAATAGTTATTAAGCAAGCTTTCGGGTTCAAAAACCCTTCGTCAGGCTCAGGAAGCTGCAGCAGTTGGTGTGTGCTCTTCCTGGATGGAATGAAAAGTAAACAAGCCAGGGGCTGGGCTGGGGAGTCAGTTGCCAGGCAGATTATAATGTATCAAAAATCCAGTGTCTATGTTTAGTCCCTGATCTCTAGTATCCAGCAGGTTGATGAAATGGAGCTCGTAGGCTCGTCTCTGGGATGTGTTGTGTAAATTTCCCTTGAGGATCAGGACTGAGAGATTGGAGAGAGAGTGGCCCTCTTGTGAGAAATGTGCCCCCACCAGTAATTGGGTGTTTCTGTCTTTGATGGATTTCCGGTGTGCGTTCATTCTGGTGCGCAGTTGTTGTCTGGTCTCTCCTACATATCTTCCATCAGGGCATTTGGTGCATTGGATGAGGTATACTACATTCCTGGAGGTGCAGCTGTAAGATCCTGGGATGCTGATGGCTCTGTTGTGGGGTGTAGTAATAGTGGGGGTGGTGGAGACATGGGGGCAGGTTTTGTCATGGCACGGTCTG